GCGGTCATTTCATTAAGACACACAGTTAAATTAGCAAGATCAAGGAATAAGTCGTTGAGACTTTTATTCGCTGAATCCTTATAAACTAACTGACCATCCTTCCATGCAAATACGCAAGTTATTTTCAAACTCACAACATAGGCAAACGATATTAATGTGTTGATCTATCAACTAGCTGGAAATACCCTACGCGGTTACTAAGGGTATATAGTCTATCTATGTTAATGATAACATAAATTCTAGTAAGCGCCCAAAGGCACCGTATACGACAAAAGTCCCGTAAACGGCTAGAAATGAACATTTGCACAAAAAGGAACAAGTGGTCTGGGGGGAGCATCTGACAGTGAACGGGCAGAGATGAGTGCATGGAAAGTAACAAAGTGGAAAAAGCCACAATAGGTGAAAAGGCCTGCTTTACTTTATAAATTTGCTGTGCTTTTGTAATTTTGTTCGGCTGGCGATTAGTAATTCTTTCGTTTGTGATGTTGCTGTGAGGAAGTTCCTGAACACCTGTAGTTTACGTAGGCTGTATTTTAACCTGAGGTTGCTCTACTATTATTGACCACATTATACTTCGATTTCTTCTTTTTTATAAAGTCACATGTATCCGCGTTTTGATTCAGTCGCTTTGTTGAATCAAGCGCGCGCCATGACTGTGTTCAGAACATTCACTGAGCTCAAGAAGTGGTGACCAACTGTTACAATGTACATGGACCCGATCATGTATGTGAAATGTTTACTATTTTAGACTTATTCATCAATTAGGATTGTCAAAGAGGGGTTTCATCGAAGCAAACCATGCCAAACAGCAAAATGCTTTTCTCGGCGGCTTTAGCCACAGGGAGACCCTAACCACAACAAGGTTCAGGCCCGGTGCTGAAAAGAATGACAGGGGGTTGGACGCCAGTTCAGAGGATACTTTAGTCTTTATAGAATGACTGGAAAGCTAATTGAAACAAGTCGACAGCCAAACGGGTCAGATATACAGCGCCGATAAAGCGGGCGTTCCAGTGAGAGTGGCGTGGTTGTCACAGCGCTTTGAGTGATATAGTGTCTGAGTCTACCTTGAAGTTTATTAGCCAGTGTGGATATCTGTGATTAATCGAGGATCAGTCTGACATTGGTTTGCACGTAAAAACACGCGCGAGAGACGCAGTGTTGCAGCATACGTCCGAAGTAGGGTTATCACACGTTCACTAAGAAAAGTGCTTACTCGTCCTAGACACTCAAATGTCAATGTCAAACATATTTGCTGATCGTCGGCCAATATATTGCCAACCATGTGCACTTCAGTTTTTCCTAATTTCTTGTTCGCTCTTCTTATCCTCCGGAGACCTCCGATACTATGCTGCGCCGATGTAGTATCTGTTATGCCTCAACTCTCTAAATTTTGACATTATAAACATTATAGGTCTATTAACTGAATGACACGTCCAATTACGAAGAGGGTGAAAAAAAGAACAGTTAAACCTACTTATTTTGTTTTTTTAATGCCTATTGAAAGTAAGTATGATGACAAGGCATTAAGGATTTTATGAGAGCCCTATGTGCAAACGAATAACGCACAAGAAGAGGACACGTCATGCTGTTATGGGAGACCCGTGATACAATTTTATGTAGAGTGAGTTTTATGCTCGCAGTCAGGGTTCGGCCATGTATCAAAATCTTCGCGCACACATGTCGATTGCGCGTGCTGCCACATGGCTGACGGCTGCGGCCGCAAGAGAAACGGAGGGTACAGCGACTTTTCGTGGCCGGAATTTTTCGCGCGGCACAGGCGTCTCACGCGCGGATTCACGAACTGCCATGTTTAATTTAATTTAATTTAATTTATTAAATGTCAGTTTACAGGCATTGTCAAGGGAAGCGATTAAACACAAATCCGACCAGCAGTGAAAAAAAACTCCTGAAGAATAAAAATATAGTTGATGATGGTTTTTATGGTTTGAAGGGTTCAGGAGAAAAATGTATGGGGCAGCGAACTGTTGGAATGCTCCTGAAAGATAAATTTCTGTCTGGCCGTAGGCGCACTCACACTGGCACAACCTAATTACTTAACCGGGAACTATCGTCTCAGCCAGTCAGAGAGCACCAAACACACAGACATTAGGGATAGCGTCGATGTTTTCCGAAGGGATATGTTCTCTGGCGAATTTGCGGGAATTCTGCCTAAAGGCTCAAATGGTATTATCGACGACGACAATTCTGTTTCCGATGCTACCGTCCCACCATCCAGAGATACCCAATGATGACTTATTGGGTGGCTTCCTCTGACTCGGCGTTAGCGAAATGAAAGACATTCTGGCTAGTGGCCTGTACATTCCATACACACAGAAGGTCATTAATATAAACTTATCCAATGTCATCGTAGACATCTCAGCCCGCTCTTATGTGCTGCATACTAAAGATCGCAAAAGCTACTGTGGTCACCCTTCTTTCCTTGAATGTAAGGGCCTTTTTAAATTGCACTCCACTTGTTCCTCGATATTTCTAAAATCTTTTTAGCAGGCAGCCCGTCAGTCGCTGTACTCTCGGAAATAAGTTGTAAACATGTTCCCTCTAACGCTTATGGCCACTTTTGTTTCCACACGGTACATTGTCGATACACAATGATAATTTTTTGGAGTTTAATTTATTAAACTTTTTGCTCGTGGAGTATCTGACTGCAAAGGCGAACTTTCCAGTATATATATCCCCTAGTTGAATATGTGAAGGACAAACTGTAGCAGTGGCGGCTGACGCCGGGTTTTAAAAAAGCGGCTCGGTATTGTGACCTCTCTGTTTGAGAAGAACTGGTAACTACCAGACGGCATCAGAATCTACGCAGTGTAAGTGCTAAGAAATAACCTACGCAACACAGGATGCGAAGAGCACTGTTAACAGATGACCTCTCCAGCCCTGGACTTGCCGAATTTCTCAGGAACACAGGAAACAATTATGTGTCCCATATTATTAATATTTCTTCACAAACATGTTTGCAGGGTGACATCGGATTTAGATGGCGATGGTGGCCAGCGCCGCTCGAGGCAACCACCTGATTCGCCAATCCCACACCGAACATTTTAGTAAGGGTAATTTTGAAAACAATTCGTAAGCCCAGAACAGATGAAAATCACTACATACCGTCCTTCCACAGAGCGAACCGAGACAACCAACATCATTAGTGATTGATAAAGCCTCTCTGCCGAATTGCTAGCAATTGTTGCCATACCAACTGTCCGAAATGTATGTTGCCAGCAGGTGCTCAGGGACATAGTTGACTTAAAAGTTCAGTTATAATTTCTCGAGTAGGATTGTTGCCTATCTTGCCAACGACCGATTAGTTAAAGAGAAGACCACCTGGCTGAGCAAATGCTTGCACTCAACAAAAATATGCAGCAAGTGTAGTTAAAATAGAAGTATGTTATCATTAAACTGGAGATGAACACCATTGTTGCCAACATCTGGCCTTGTCCCCTGAAGTTGCCATTATGCAACACCAAAGATTGCGATGACTTTGCTCGTCGGCTGCCTACAGACGCCAGGTTTACAGCAGAGGCGATATGAGTGTATATTTCTGAATGTCCACGGCTGAAATTATTGTTATTATTATTATTATTATTATTATTATTATTATTATTTAATACCTTATCATGGTTAGAGGGCGAAATGGGAAAGAGTTCATCAGAAACTTCCAGAATACCCTGCTGGACTCCCCGTTCTGCCACATTTGCTGTGAGAGGGAGATCGAAGGAAAACGGTCTTTAAGTGCCTGTTCAATCTTTGGCATCCTCAACGGTGGGTCTAATATTTATTTATTGACAGACAGAGATTCCTTTGGGCGAAATTCACGTTTTAGTAACTGCGATGCTCAGGAGATTTGACGGACGGAGATGGGTCGGTTAACATGGGCCGTAGGAGGGATATGTGTGGGAGCGATCGAGACGTACGCAAGGCATTAGCTTTTAAGGAGGAAAAACTCGCTCATGAAAGGGTAAATATGCGGTTCGGACAAGACTGCCCTGCATATGGTAGTGTAAAAGCGATCCTAAACAGATATTATCAAGGCAAAATTCTTAAACCGGATGAGGCTGCCGTCCTCAAATTAATGAAATGAGGGGAGCTGAGCACAATCGGTCACACTTCGTTTGGACGGGAAATTAGAGGCTTAGGCGAACTTCAAGGCCTAGGGGAGAGATGCTACCCTGAGACCCCTTTGCTGACTGACCAAATTACTGGCAGACAACGAAAAAGGAGGAATTCGTCGTGATCGACAACAGGCCGCTTGGGGTCGAAAAGGGGAGATGACATCAAAAACCGCAAAAATAATAAATTGGGGAGTGAGAGCTCGAAGCCTCAGAGGCCGGGGTTGATTCCTTTAACGGGCCGACGAGTAGCGAAACGGAGGAGACTGAGGACATGCACATCAGCCTGTCCCTGCTTGGTCTTTGAGAGGATTTGCTGTGGCGGGCATCGCGTTCTGTGGAGGACACGATGCATGAACTGAAAAATCGAAAACTTTGAAATAAACTATCGTTTCTCGCAATTGTCTGCCCATTGTCCCGTGCCACTCGAAAAAGTAGGTGTTACAAAGTACATCTATTTCCCCCCGAAAAAGGATAATTATAGTCGAAACAACTTCGCTGCTGCGTGGGAAAGGTTTAACTGGAGACATTTATGGGTGCTATGCTAGACGATATTTTACAATGAAATACACACGAGGCTGTGCGCGGTAAGTAGTAAGAGAGAACAAGGAATGAGTGGTCTGCCTCGTGCATTCTGATTGGGGCGTTTTGTTGTACATACAGTCTTCAAAGTTTCCATGAAATGTCTCAGGAGAACTTAACAGACTTGTTTGGCAGATGGAATTCATTATTATAATAAGCGTAAGATAAATATTTTGTAAATATGATATTTAAATGTTGTTTAATCTAAATGTGAACTTTATAGTTTTACTGCATTAAAATTTAGACGGGCGAAGCAGTTGAGGTCGTGCCTTAGACTTGTTTTTGCTTCCGACCATGCCTACTCGCGCACTTCACTTTGTTTTCAAAATTGCCAAACGAAATGAGGTCATTAAGTTCTATAAAGAAGTTCTTGGAATGAAGGTATGCTCAATGCTTAGTTACACTGCTGTAAAGGTCTTGAGACATGAGGAATTTCACGAAGGTTGCAAAGCTTCATGCAATGGGTAGGAAGATTCGCTCCTCATGTAACCTCCGCTAGCCCCTATGACGGAAAGTGGAGCAAAACAATGATCGGCTATGGATCTGAAGATACTCATTTCGTCCTGGAATTGACTTATAATTATGGAATTAGTGGTTATAGGCATGGAAACGATTTCAAGGCTGTGCACATCAACTCGCCCGATGTTTTCGAGCGTTCGAAAATGTTCTTTAATGCATCCGAAGTAAAGGAAGGTTGCGTTGAAATCCTAGATCCAGCGGGTTATCGGTTCGTTGTCCACAACGTGAGCACCGGTGGCGATCCCGTGACAATGGTTGAGCTTTCTGTTTCTAATGTGGACCAGTCACTTGGTATTCTTCCTACTTAAAGTCAAATTTAAGACTATTGGGTCAAAAAACTTGGTATGAGTCTGTGTGAGGATACCGCGTCTTATGCTATTCTTTCTTATGGGGATGGCCAGTGTCGTTTACGTCTTACTCGTGAGTCTTCACCAATCGATCGTGGACAAGCGTTCGGCAGAATTGCGTTCTCTTGTCCCAGGACGGAGGTTTGTATAATGTCAGACAATCTATTTTCCCTAGCTTCCGAAAATCCAGGAAAAAATGGATGCTGAAAAGCAGACTATTCTTACCCGGCTTGTTAGTTTAGACACCCCTGGAAAAGCCACTGTTGATGTCGTCATACTTGCTGACCCGGTGAGTTTCCCCATGAACTCTTAAAATACTGTATACGTGGCATGTCCTGCTCCGTTTTTACTGACTCTTTTTCACTTTTTGATTAAACGGCAAGTTACTTATGTCCTACACCAGCACGCCCAGCAAAGAAAATCCATGATTGTCGCATGATAATTAGAATTCCAAAACCAGCCCTTTCTGTTCATCAGGCGCGCTTACCACCATTCGGTTGCGGCCACACACCAGCCGGCCGACTAACGATAAATGTCTATACATGCGTAAACTGCCACCGCTGGTGTATCTATCATTACTGGTGATTTGCTACCATAGAGGGATTTGAGGTTAAACTGGTTAGATTCTGAACACATTTCGTCGTAAACTGTTCCGTAGCCCGAATTATGTCCCTTAATGTCCATTTCCGCTGTGCGAGCATTGACGGATAACACTCTTACCAGTTTGCCATTGTCAAACGTCTCTCCAACATCGCTGTTTTTGTGCATATTTCTGGCTACAGCTAATTACAGTCAGCCGAGATTCTGGAATGTGTTCTCGATTAGGAAGGGTTGCTTGAGTAGGGTTGGATTATAAACTATCATGCGGCATAATCGCCTAGTATTTCAGACACGCCAGGATGCTGGCTTTGAACGCACATAATTCCGATCGCCTAAATAAACTCGGAAAAACCGAGTGCGCATTTTTTCCTATTGGTTTCCGATGTCCTCATTCATCGAAATATACTTCATAGAAAAATAGAACATAAATATTTTTTCTTCTACTTATTTGATAGAAAATAACGATCTCTTTAAATTTTACACCTGGAGAAGGGAGTGCCTCTTGGTTTTAAGGTTTTTTCAATTCTTGAATAGTTTTGAGTCCTATTCGACGTCGCATTTGAGTCCAGGGTTCACAGTTTGCGTGCTGCACACGTTCGTATGAGGAAGACCACACATTCCTCTATTCCACAAATACACCACATGGTGCTCGTAAAATGTTAAGGTAAATTTGGCTATGTTCTATTTCAAGAGGAGCATTAATGGACGGGCCGATGCGATGTTACCCGAATGGAAATTGCACGGTCTTAAAAAGGTTTTTAATAAGAAACTTTTTAGAACCGGAACTTACCCATTCTTCGAGCGAAAAATTCGATGAAGACGTAATTTGCTGCCAAATGAGTAGAAGAAAGCATATTTTGTGAACGTTTTCGGCAAAGTATATTCTAACTTAGAAGGGCACCGAAAACAGATAATAATAGTTGTTTGTCGACTGCGGTGTTTAGAGACAGCCGGAAAGAAGTGCATTCAAAAGCCAACATCCGGGAGTGTCTGAAATATTGTGGGATTATGTCACACAATCGGTAATTCACCCCCACTTAAGTAATCCTGATCGAAGACGCATTTTAGAATTTCGGTTAACATTTTATGAACTCACCATCCCTCCCATCGTCAGTATGAAGTAAATTGGCTGATCAGATAGTGCGTCTAGGATTTTTACTTTTATTCCGTCACAGCAGCTTCGAGTGTATGACTGCCCGCTTATAAATTACACTTTTTATGTTTAGGATGGACATGAGATATGCTTTGTTGGTGACGAGGCCTTCCGTAGTCTCTCTCAGGTGGATCCAAAAGCCGACGAACTTTTGTCTAAAGCAATGGCTGCTGATACTAGCGACGCATGGTTCGAGAAACGCGGTGGCAAGCCAGGGCTCTGATAATGCTTTCGTACTTCCTTTATCCATTGCGACCTTTGATATTCCTGACTGCCTTGCAGTTTGCTTCCTCCTTTCTTCTGATACATCTTCTGCTATCGGTGCTATTGTTTTGTTATTGCCCGCCTTCATTCATTTATAAACTACCAACGGTAGGTGGAATTGAATATTGGGTTGAGCACTTGCATTGGGGACGATGAGCGTCCACAAACGCACAAGTAGTTAACGTGATCAGGGCGAGAGATAAGACCAAGAAGTAACCGTCACAATTTTCTGGCTATGTAGACATCGGTTTTGATGCGTTGCGTCACGATAGATGCAACAACCCTAAGACAGCCCTCCGTGTGTGGAGGGTTGTCGTCTAATCGAGTGATCGGCGCTTCTGCGGTCTGGGATGCTTTGCGGCAATGAATTTCAATATAAATTTCGTCCCCTACGAAAGACTTGATCGGTGCCCGTGTCTTGATAAGGCATTGTATGCCAAGCCTATGTTGCGGCAGGACTGGAGACATTCGTCGATCCACTACCTTCCAGTTGCACGGAATCTTTCCAATTTTATTGCAAAGCCACTGCGTCGGCCAATGGCTGTGTCCTGTTTCAAGAGAACTGACAAGATGTCAAGAGTTTGCGGGCACGGATTCAAACAGACTTTTCGTCCTGATCCCTGATAGAATTGATTTGAATACTTGAAAGATCCTTAAACCGAATGACTCAAAATGTTCGTATGGAAACTGAATAATGGGTGTCTAGATACCAGACGTTCCGCCAAGGTAGAAGAGCAAGTCTGGATGCTTTTTATTCTCGTAGGTATGAAACGTTTGTGGGTTATCCGGCGGCCTTAATAACTGAACTATCAGCTCATCCATTTTTGCCACACCCAGAAAGGATATTATTAACTTACTTCACCCTTATATGTACGGCTTACAGACAGCTGCTCCATATTCACCCTCTGGAGTGACTCATTTTAGTTTACTCGTTCACGGTTGCATTAGAGGCTTGTTCGCGATCTTCTTATTCGGAGATAATATTCCAAAGACGAGACTGTCACCGGCGTCTACGGAAGCACATGACTATGATCGCGCAGAATAGCAAGGAGCGCGTATGCATTCTGGGTGATTCTAGCGTCGAGTAACTTGGAAACACGATCTCCGCATTGGTACATCTCAGACAAACTAAGAGAGCATTTTTGGGATGAGAACTAAGCTAGAATTAGTAGGCACGACAAGCTCGAATTTGGTCCAAAATCTCTCGTCTACGCAACTAACAGAGCAGCAACTACGAGTGCTATGGCGTTAAGCTTGTTTCAGTACCACAGATCCCGACCCGGTCAAACTCATTACGGCCGGAATTATTAACAGATGGTTCCGACTCCCGACCAACCTCCTTCTTTCTTACACACCTACGTCATACTCGGTACTAAAAAAGGTCCGCATCTGTCTGCTTCTTAGATTGCTTAATGAATTCAAATTTCACATTCGAGGTCAAGACCGTAACTACTACAGAATCCCCATCGGTATGCCAGTTTAACTGCACTACTATCGATTAGTTCCTCAGCGAGGAATACTCTGAGTGAAGGAACCATATTTATCTCAAGCATATTCTTACTTATGGGTGTCGAAGTACCCAACTTATAACAATGACCGTAAGGATAGAATTCGATTGTGGGTCGCATTGCTTCTAGAGGCAGTCATTTCGCAGGAGAGTTGTATGGGAGAGTCTAACCTCTGCCTTGCAAACCTGATCAAGAAACCAGTGTCATGTATTCACTGGAGTCCGTAGGATCTCGGGATATTTGCATCCACCAACGCAAGCCGTTTAAACTCACTGTCTGTCAGGAATTTGGGATTCTTCAGTTGTTTCAAGCAGTTGTCCTAAGGGGGATTACTTGAAACGGTCTTCTGGCAGCATGTCTTCTTTTACAAATTTTATCAATAGATGAATGTCAGGGAACAATGGAAATTATTTATGGTTTGCCTGCTCTTAGCCTGACACACCCCAGCCAGATGACGCAAAGATCTGCAGTGAGTCCTAGATCACTTGTTTAGACCCCTCCCGTCATAATACGAACGAAATTTGCTCTCCGAAACACCGTCTGGCCTCTTCGTGGACGTTCGCATGACACGCAGTAATCAGCAAATTGGAAAAGTCGACCAACGGACACAAAAATACTGGGATCAACGGGAGCACTTCTCAAGTTTAGTTAACAATCCTGATGCCCACAGAATGAGCTAAGGTTTTTAGTGAGCTGGGGCCCGCTTCCTCGACGGTTTGACCGTTCCCCCAAACGTGCCCACCGTGTACTTCACAACAGGATGGGGACAGGGAAGGCGACTTGCACGCGTTGATAGTGATGGCAGAATTTCGCTGCATCTACCACACTCTCGAGTCCTCACTCAGATGAGCCCGTTTTCATAACAGTCAAGAAGACCAGAGGCGGAAGAGGGCACAGGTGGTTGACACAGCGAAAACCTGCATCTAGGCGTACCATCACGCATTAGTAAAAAAAAGGGTAGGGGCGTCCGGGTCCAACAGGACGAGGGAGCCAAAGAGGCTACAGTAAGAAAGAGCCATTGCAGCTTGACTCTCAGTCGGCCACTCCACACAAACACACACTGGGCTGACTGTGAGGCTCGAATTATCCCGTCAGTTGGCAGCCTCCCAAGCCACGGCTTTTAGCGCACCATGATAGATTCTAAAGCGTCAGCTTGTTTATAGTGGGAAATATTTGTTGGGACCGTCGACCTCACGCTCTCTCCCACAGACACCACTCCACTGTCTGTGCCGGTCAGATAACTGATGCCGGAAGTGGGTACAGTGACTGACAGAGTTAGGGAGCCCGTCTGTGCGCGCCTAATGCACGGGCCTGATCCCCAAAGGCACGCGTGAAGATCATAAACAGAAGGCGGTGGGCGGCTCCGATCTCACATGTGAGATCCGGCCATTAAGAAGGAGCCATCGCGGTCCGACTCTCAGTTCACCAGTCAGCCACTCAACACATAAACACACAGTTAGGCTGGCTGCGTGGTCTGAGTTGACGATTCATTTGATAACCTTCCATGCCATGGATTTTAGCTCCCCGTGATAGTCTCAGGCCCGTCCTATTGTTTTTAGTGAGGAAGTATGCGCTGAGTCGTTTTATCTCATCCTGTGCACCAGCCCGCCTTCCGAGTCGGTCAACCAATAGATGTTAAGATTGGGAGGGGGGCGTATACAGCAGACAACAGTTCATCCGCACGTGCCAGACACACGACCCAATCCAATTACTCACACACCAGGATTTCACACACACAAGGGTGCAGACTGCTCGGATCTCACATTTAGCAGAGAAGCCGCGTGGAGAAAAGAGTCGAAGAGCACAGTTCTCACTTACATGAGAGGTGCCGGTGGGGTGGAATGTTAGCAATGCTCATGTTAATAGGGCTATGTGTGGAGATGTGGTCATGTCTGCCTTCATTTATCGCAGGCTTTCAAAAAGACACATGTACCTGAACTTGCTGATGTGGAAGGTGAATTTGCGGTGACAGTGTGGGCAGGACGAGTGGGCAGATGTTAAGTCGGCCGCCGTTGTGGTGCTGCTAGCGTTGGTCGCGCTGATGGATGGGGAGTTGATCGGGCTGCGGATGGGAGAGTTGGAGGATATGCATGTAGTGTAATGTGTGTCGCTAGTGCAATTGATTTCCAACTAATATGCATGTTGCTGAATGTGCCAATGCGACGAATAAGTGTGCGCGGACAGTGAAATCTAGTGCAGCGAGTGTATGTGGGGGGTTCTGGTACTGGCGCGCCGGTCGCAGTATACTGGATTCGCGAGTGACCGACCGAGCCTATGTGTGCGAGGTGAATGTGCGATCACAATGAGTGCAGGTTGGGATCGAGTCATACATCGATGGAAGTGAGGGTGGTGCTGGTGAGGGTGATGGCTGACTTGTCGTCGGAGCCGCCTTGGTTGGTGGCGGTTGCGGGGGCCGATTCGCGCGCGGATTGTTTGTGGACAGTGGGGGCATTGCCAATAGAAGCAAAGAGAGGAGTCCCAGTAAGCAGTTTTGAAGAAGGAGACATGATCGCTTAGACAAGAGCAGTATTAGCCTGACGTTTCGGATTCCCGCTCGAACCCGCCATCAAAGACAAAAGCAGATAGGGGTGGTTCATGCACTAGGGGCTGCAGTATTTATAGGATGCAGTCGCCATGCTACCGCATACCTATGAATATTCACGGCTCCGCCCGTCCCTCCCCCTCTTCATCAGGGATCGTTGCACTTGGTGTGCTGACTGTTTGATGGACGATATTCGCGTAGTTAATTGCTGCAATTTCATCACGTGCGTTGGATGTTGACGTGACGATCGCGCGAGTGATTTAAAAACGCGATATGCGGACGGGTTTCAGAGTGGTGAATAGTATTTGGTCGAAAATTTTCATGAGAGCCGCGACGGCTTCTGGGACACTTCTTGTGTCTAACTTTTTTGAAATTATGTTTGAGTGATACTTCCAATCACAGAGAGACCCGGAGCATGTCATTAGGTAAGTCGGTCAAGTGAGAAAGTTCGTCAAATAAGAAGTGTTTATAGTTTCTCGCATTGAAAATTTCACCCAGCTCACCCGAAATATAGTTAGTAATTTAGCATAGTTAGGTGGCTAGTCAGTCAGTTAATATTGCTTGTTAGTATAGTCAGTCTCAAGTTCCTGACCGCTGCGTTTGTTTTTTTTATATTCTGTGCAGGTCTCTTCACCATTCAACAGCGTCGTCAAGATGACAGCTTTGCACATCTTAAGTTTGAGGTTGAGGCTGAGACCGTGGCGATCCCATACGGACTGGCTTTAGAGAACCATAGATCCGTGGCAGCGTGCTGCCTAAGTAGCGCCCCCTACCATAGGCAAAGTTGCCCCACAGTCTTAATTTTGGTGCCGTTAACGTGGATGCAGCGTTGGTCGACAGTGGATGCAAGGTTGCCGTTTTGTCCCTGTTGTTGGTCAGTCGGAGGCGAAGAGGTCCATGCTCCGTTGC